CGTACCAGTAGTGTACCAGATTTAGGAGAAGTAATACCAAATATGCGTCATGGCGTACCAGATTCAGGACAAGCGACACCAAATGTGGGCCGTGGTGTACTAGCTTTGGGACAACGGAGTCCAAAAATGGGCCTTAGTGTACCAGATTTAGGAGAAGTAATACCAAATATGGGCCATAGGGTAACAGATTAGGTACAGATAGGGCAACGTGAAACAAAACTGGTCAAATGGCCACCTGACAGCTTGTGGCCTACCACTAACTGAATCCGGTTTGTGACAGGAGATGTGGCAAAAGGGCCGGCAAAGACCAACTTTGGTATGTAGTGCCCGTGTAGGTTTCTAAGTAGATAGCAGCCAATATATAATAACTATAAATGGAAATGGCTAGGGTGACAGTGTATCTCTATACGTCTGTGTGAATGAGACTTTTCCCATGATGTATAACAACAGAAATCCTATTACAAATATTTTTATGCTCTCCATCCAGAGTTCTGGTCTTCTCTAATACTCCAGGTTTGCTTTTGTCATTTCTGATCACTGCCCATGTCTAGCAGCTTCACACTAACAGTAAAACATCTTTGTATCTTTGTCTGCTTATTTTTGTAGTCTATGACCAGATGGGGTGGAATATAACTGCCCTTCCTCTTTTTTACACAAGAACCTATCGTTAACTGCAGGAGGGCCAAGTTTTAGTGGGTAGTAGCCCTTTTCACCAGATATCTGCTATAAAATGCAAAAGATGCCTTTCCATCTCAAACACACCATTCTCCTTCTCTGTCTCCCTCTTTCTCTTACTCACTCTCTTTTACAGCTGCTCTATAGAACTTGGAGGCGAACCAGCGCTACAGGATGGGGAGTGTCCATTCTTGTGCAACATGACATCATTTGGCCGCTGGATTTAATTCACTCTATACCTTACTGTTTTTGGCTGCAGTTCAGGCGACCATCTCCATGGTTAGAGATGTCTACGGTGTGAGTTGTTAGAAAGGGCAGACACCTCCTAAAGTAAGAGGTGTTGAATTAAAACAGTGCTATTTGAAAGAATCTTACCATTTCTATATGGCATCAACAGAGGCCAAAACGCCTGATGGCACGACTGTGGACAAGCGGGATGCTGGGATTTAAATTCATACAAGTGACAGCTGAAAACCGAGAAGTGAAAAAATTAAATAAAATATATATAGATCAAAGAAAGCTTAAGTTGAGAATTTTAAGCTTAACTAAAGATGAGAACAAGGTGGAAGTCATGAACTGCTGGAAATGTCTTAAAAAACCTAAACAAGCAATTAAGCAAAACTTAAGAGGGTAAGTCCAAAGACACTGAGAGAGGACCTTGATGGAGCCAAAAGCACACTTAATACTCAAACACTTGTCTCATAAATGTTACAAAATGTCAAAACATATTTCAAAACAAACAGAAAACTGTAGTATCTATGAATATATTTTAGTAATTGGACAGCAAAAATGTAAAAACTAAAAATACATTCATGTCAGCCCAACAATAATTAGGATGACTTTGATTCAATGTCTGTAAGATACACTGAATTTGATTGTGTTTAGAAAAGAAGTCGAGGGCTATTGGCCGTCTCAGTGCTAGACTTTAAACTGCCATGGACCACAGTGTACAAAATCTGAGGACAGTGTGTCAGCTTGTCTCCGGGCAGAATGAACTGCTGCATCTTGTCTAAACAAGAACCTTTATAAATGCATGAGGGGAAAAATAACACACTTAAAGCAAATTTGGACAAACACAGGTGGATGGGATCAAAGTGTTGTGCCAGGACTACTTCTTCAGGGTGGAACATACCAATCCACTGCAGTGAACTGTGTGTTTGTTTACGATTGCACTGTGAATCACAAACATGTTGCTTCACACTCACAAATGTCTCTAAAAAATGAAATGTTTCCACAGATAGAATGGTATGGAATCCTTAGCACATATGTTAGTGGCTGTAGAACTGGCATCTCTTCACAGAGGCAGCCACATCCACCATCTGTGCATCATCTGACCCTTATACATGCGCAGCTACAGGAAGTCCAGCCGTTACACACCTGACGGAGGCTTCATGAACCCTGAAAGGACTTCGACCACAGTTCCTCTGTCTCCCATCTGCAGAAAACAAAAGAACCGTGGACAGATTAGCATTGCCAATACGCCCTTTTCACTCATAAATCATCATTTTATGAATCATAAATGTGCAGGACAGTCTAAGAATAATCTTTCAAATGCATATTTTTATCCGTTTATTGAGATGAACAGATTTTCTCGAAAAGTTCAGAGCTGAATGGTGTTCTTTCTTTCCCTCCTGACAGGTAGACGAGAGACATGAAAGAGGTGGGTGGGCAACACTGAGCTGACCTTTCCGCTGGGGGCCTGACGTCACTGGACACCTGATCCGATGCAAAGCGTGAGGGTCAAAGACGAGTTTGATGTGAACAGAGGGGCAGCTACAGAGTGTCACAGAGCGAGGAAAGGTGGAAAACGGAAGTGAAACCAGATAAAGCGATGAAACAAATTTTCCAGGACGTGTGGGATTTTAAAGGTCAGTTTCAGCACTGACTGGCTGCACTGTTGTTAATGGTTTTCTGACTGAAAGCTAAAGCCCAGTTAAACGAGATTATATAAACAGTAAATACAAATAAAATGTAAACAGGAGAAACAAAGTCCAACAGGGGTGTCCAGAGGCTCAATACTGTAGAAATTAATGACAACCGTTGGTTGAAACGGCATATTTTGTGCATTTGAAGTTAAGAAAAGTCAAGGAAAATTTACTGCTGTAATGCAGTAAAAGACATTTTCACTTAATGATGCTGAAGCATAAATCCCTAAGGTGTAGAGAAATTTCTGTTGGCTCAGAAAACAGGTAAAGAAATGTACACACAGCTGACACATGACAAAGATGTCTGAAAATGTGGTAGAATAGTTCAAATTTCTAAGTAAAGCCTGCCTTTGGACAAGATTAGAAGATGAAGATGACCAGGGTCAACATCATCCAACTAGGTTTATCTTGCACTCTGCTATGCTTTTGTTTACATAAAACAAAAACATGCTGATCTTTGACTGTCCTCACTTTTATATTTCTTTGTGCCAAAACATCCTTGTGAATAATGAGCATCAGTATACACACACACACACACACAGGCACAAACATGTATACACACACTGTGAGAGTTGACCATTTGTCTCACTGGACATTGAACTCTTGGTCAGAAGACAGGGTCACTGTTAGTGCAGTTTGCCCTGGTCTGGTCCATCGCTGTGTCTTCAGAGAATACATTTGTTATGCTTAAGACAACATCGCACAAATATTTAAAGCTAAAGAGCTCTGGCAAACGAGAGCAATCCAAAGATATCAGCGGGGAATTGTAAAGCTTTCTTGTTTCACATGCATGAACTTTGGACGGTTCCTTGTATTTCTGTCTACACTGAGCATATTTGGTGCCATTACACAGTCAAATTTCCCCTATTAGGGTTTGGGTACTGGATCCATCTGGCAGCTGCCTGGAGTAACAATGAAAAACATGTCTGTGGTCCACATGGATATATGTGGGCTCTCTAATTGCATCTGAACAAGTGTTTGGATTTTGCTGAAGATCAAGATTTGGGGTTTTGTACTTTGTCCAGAATAATTAGCAGAGATCAATAATAATATTTCCAAAACTTGAACACACATTGGCCTGAGTGAAAATATTATGGTTGATGCCAAGGCTTTTCATTGCTGTTGTATGACTCACTGGAGATGTAGTAAATCTGCAGAACTATAGTGCCTGATATGACAGTGAACCCATAAAGTAGAGTTAAACACACAGCTCTCACCAGCATGTGGGTGGATCATTTTATGTTACCACTCGGACAAACCTTTGTATGTGCAATGTAAGTGGGTCCAGGAAGATTTTTTGTATAGTCATTACAATCTACGTTTTTTTAGGTCCATTGTCCGTAGATTGTGTAGTTGCTACCCGACCTGTTGCTTCTCAAGGCTGCATAGAAATCATCCTGTTTTGATCATTTAAGACACTAGTGAATCGTGGTAATACGGCGGTGAGACCTGCAAAAAGGAGAATAAAAGCACGATCTGCAAGGTCGTAGCAAAACGTGTAAGAAGATAATTAGACCTTGGCAAGACAGGTCAAGACAGAAGCACTACAGACATGCTAAGAAAGTAACAAGATCTGCGGTTGGGGAGCCAATCCTGCTGGAACAATAGCAAGACCTGATGATGGAAGCAAGATATGCCAGGACCTGCTAGGATGGAAGGGGAAACTAAGAAGATGGTATATTGAGGCCTGTGAGATGATGAGAGAACTGCAAGGTGGTGGTATCATCTGCCAAGATGTTACTGAGACATGCCAAGACAGTAACAAGGCCTGCCAAGATGTTATTAAGATCTGCCAGGAAGGTAGTAGGACCTACAAGACAGCAGTTCTGTGTCACGACGCAAAACCTGTCAAGACAGTGGCGAGACATGAGTGTTGCAGGAACACTGAAGCAAGACCTACGAGACAGCAGGTAGACAGGTCAAGACAGACGATACCAAGATGGAAGTTGTACTGATAGTAGAAGGACCAGAAATATGTTAGTGAGGTGGGACGACACATCAGAAATCAAAACAGAAGCAAGATCTGCAAAAGACCTGAGACCTGCAGGTAGTCAGGAGGCATGGTGATTTAAAGACACAGGAAACCCGTGGATGCAGGATCGAGCTGGCAGGCAGGAGAAAAAGTGGAAGACCCCAGAGAATGTCTGTGCATGCAGTAAATGAGAACATGAATACCAGTGGTTTGCAGAATTAACCCCATGTTATAAATCAAATGAAACTTGGCCTCATTTTCCTATGCCGTTTTAATCATATGTAGTTGGAAGCCAGGGGAAAAATGCAGGGTTTTTTTTTTTTCATCACACACATCATCAGGTTTAGCAGCTGCTCTAACCACTCAGTTCCTCGTGTGTAACCAGTTTGTAGAGAAGACGTTGTTTAACTGGATTATAATTCCTTGTTTTTGAAGCAATTTTACCAGTGAGGACTGTAAACTCTCAAACCAGGAAACATGGGTTTGGAAGTTGTTCCTCCAAATGCCCTTGTCCTGAAGTTCCCAGAGTCTCCTCTGGTCCTTCTGCAGCACGGCGTGGAGCCAGAAGATTGGACTAAATCGAGTTAGGGCAAATGGCCACTGTGCAGAGGCAGAAATAAAGGGGTCTTATTCAGTCGCCAGGAGCATCCTGTCTTCTATCAGGCAGATCTGGAGACATGCCAGCACCCGCCCTGCTGGTGAAAAGGCAGCATCTCAGCACACGGAGTTGACAAGTGCGCCTCCCCCTCCAAACGCTGTTTGACATACCCGTCGTTATAAGCTGCAGCCTCTGGCTGTTTCTTTTTTTTAAAAAAGGCAAGCTCAAAACCACACATCTCACATTCTGCACAGCGACCGTGCAGGCGGTACGACAGGAACCTGCAGCGCCAGCGGAATCTCTGCCTATCTCTGAATCGCTCTGGAGACGAGCGGTTTGCGCGTAAACGGCACTGGGCATTACCGCCGAGGAAATACTCCAATTCTTGGATTGTATCTTCATACACTCAAAGGACAGCACCGAGGGAGAGCAGCAGCTGCAGCGCTGACTCTATCCTCAGATGCGCTAACATTTATTGGGACTTGAGCGCATGAACGCACCTGTGGACGCACCAGCCACAAACGCGCCCTAATGATTGCACCCGAATCTTTGGAAGAGAAATCAATCAGATTCAGTTGATACACGCTTCGGGGGGGTTTTATTTTTGTATTTTGTTATTTTAGGTCAAAGGCGGCACGTTTCTAATTTATTATTCCAGTTGGGATTTTTTTTTCCAGACATGCTGCTTAGCGTTTCCATCCTGGTGCTTCCCCTGCTGAGCATCATCACCGGCGGCGGCTCCTCGTATGTACCGTGTGAGCCGTGCGACCAGAAGGCTCTGTCCATGTGTCCGCCGGTGCCCGTCGGCTGCCAACTGGTGAAGGAGCCGGGCTGCGGCTGTTGCCTTACGTGCGCGCTCGAAGAGGGCCAGGCTTGCGGCGTGTACACCGGGCCGTGCACGCGAGGGCTCCGCTGTCTGCCCAAGAACGGCGAGGAGAAGCCGCTGCATGCACTCCTGCACGGCCGAGGAGTGTGCAGGAACGAGAAGTTGTACAAACTGATGCACCCAACCAGAGGTAGGGACTGTTTCGTTGGTAATTCATTATCATTATATTAATGCTGTTGTTAGCATTTCTGTCTGCTGGCGGCTGTACTTCTGCTGTATGAACATTTCAGGAACAATATATAAGCATCATTCGTTCCAAACAGTGGGTGGAGGCTCCGCGATTGGTCACCTGATAATTTTAAGTCTTCAATTTTTGGCATTGTATTATTTTTTATTTATTTATAACAAATGTGTTGTTTCTGTGATACCAGAGTCTGTCTCTCTATTTGTACTGTAGTATTTGTACTGTAATGTGATCGCTTCACCAAAGTCACTCAGGAAGCAAAGATGCTTCACACTACATTTTCTGAAGGTATAAGTAAATGTTCCAAACGAGATGTTAGACGTCAGTTGATTTTTAAATGAATTTTTAAAAAGTACTATAGTTTGAATCTGTTTTCATAAGCATAGCAAAACCTAAAAACTAAACACATCCCAAGGAAAACAAAACTCATGTACAGATCCATTATCTTAGACCAACAGTTAGCCAAGTAATTGCTAAATGTTAGCCAAAACAAAAATGCTAATTTATCTCAAGGAGAAAAAAACAACGGTACACAAGTTAAATCAGAACAGCTACATAAAAACACTTGTGATTGTTGTTTTTCTGAAAGTGAATTGACAAGTTCCAACAATAGCCTAAACACTTGGCAAAGATAGTTAACGATCGGGCTACAAATAAATTGCAAAATGAAAGTTGCAAGACCAGTCCAAAAACAGTGGTAAAAAAAAAACATGATTGCTAAACATCAGCAAATGTCAGGAATTTATATTAAAATTTATATATAATGTAACTGGTGATACCAAAGAAGAAGATGGCCAAAAATAGAAAGTGAACCATTATTGTAAAGAAACGGCAAACAGTTGGGCAATGATGTCACTGCTCTTCTGTCCGTCACTGGAGGGATATTAATGAAGCTTTCAAATGCACAGCTCTAATGCCTGTGTAAAGGCCATTAGTGTTTCACACCCAGTCATCAACTCCACACAGTCAGGTGTGCTCAGAATACAGGCTCAGTGGAGCTGAAGAAGACACATTTCCAAAGCCTTTCTCTCCCCCCTTTGGAGACAGATAAGGGTCAACTCCAGCGCCGTTTGTTGAAAGGTCGTCGACACCTGTCATTACTGAGACACACGACTCAAGAGTGCCTTGAACCTGTGACCTTTTTCAGCAAACAATTGGTGGCGATCAACCTGTCATCTAACCTAAAAGAGCCCTTTTTTAGGCCCAGGGAGCTGTAAATAGGTAGGTTTCGTGTGAACTGCCCATCCCGCCCCTCCTCTCTCCCCCCCTTCACCCATCTGACACTAAACAAGGGAGATGATTACAGGTGGTGATCAGCCAGGCTCCTTTTTGGCTCCTGTGAATGTGAGTTCAGGGACAGTCCCTTTACAAACACTGAGGAGAGCTTTGTAGAGAATCCTGGCTCATGGCCCCTGAGCCCCCCTTCCTCCAAGGTGTGAAATCATACTTCTCAGTCTCTCCCTTCATCTACTGTTTCTTTTAGAATCTTTTGTTGCTTCTACTTGCCCACCACCTGCACTCTTTTTCCCACACCTATTCCCACCTTTTTGTCCCTATTCTCACTGCTCCATCTCCTCTTTCCTTGGCTGCACCACACAGCCCCTCCTCATCTTTTCCACCCCATTCTTCTCCTCCGTTGAACGTTTCACCCTTTCCATTTCACAGATTGGAGTTTTGGTTTGGAAGTGGTGCTGCTCTAGTAACAAACAGCAGTGGAAAAGGAAGTGAAAGGCTTTCCGAATGAGCATAATTAGAGATAACACCCATCATTCTGACATTAAGTGTCCATGTTTCTTTCTTTTTTATTTTCTTTATTCTTTTTTTTTCCTTTTGACAAGTAGACCTTGCAGAAATGACTTGTTTAACCTTGAGAGCAGCTCAGCACGTCCCTGGAAGAAAAAAAACCTCCAATCATCTATTGTACCCCCCTTCCTTTTTCCCTCCCTTTCCCACAGTATCCACTGCTCTCTCCACTCTTTGTTGGTCCCACCCTGGTCTCTTCATCGCTCTGCTCACTCCTCCTCCCCCTCTTCCTCCCTTTCTTTCTCTCTGTCTCAGTGCTGCAGACAGGCTCAAGCTATGCAGTGATTCAGCAGAATACAGGCTGATCTCTCTCCTCCTCCTGTGGTTGGTCGTCTCACTAAATGCTGCATTTCAAACTGATTAATGCAAAAAAAAAATTGGCAAGAGCATTTAAAAAGTTTCAAAAAAGAGAAAAGACTTTGACATCTGTATAAGCTGAAAGCAATTATTTCAGCAATTATTTAAAATTAAAAGTTGTTCATGTCTACCTACCAGTATGGCTAAAATAATTTAAATATCTCCAGCTGAAAATCAAAAAATATAGCTCAGAACAAAAAAGCCAGACTAAAAATGTGTAAATATTAGCCTCAAGTTTTTCTATAAAAGCTGAATCGGGGAAAAGTCAAGAGGTTAAAGTAGCACAATAACATTTTAAATTAAACATTAAATAAAATGCTAACCAGTAAACCAACCATTCTAAAGGCCAACCCAACAGCTGCAAAGCTTTAATTTTTAGTTATTTTTAGTTAACAAAAAAGTTGTACTTACTTAACCCAGAACCATGTCATATTAGCCCTGATATATAGTAGTACATAGCAAAGAATACAAATGGCTAAAGCTAACCAGTAATACGAAAACAAATGTTTGTCCAGAAAGCGAACACAACTCAGAGATACTTAAAAGTATGAAAAATGTTTGTCAAGAAAGCAAACACAACTCAGAGATACTTAAAAGTATAACATATGTAGAAACTGAAAAGTTGGCTAGAAAGCTAACTTATAAACAAAAATAAATGTTTTGTTTTTTTAAAGTTAAACAGTAATAAATTAAGCATCACAAAGACACTTCAAGATAACCAGGGTGAGTGACCCACATAAAACTCACCCAGGTGCAAAGGTCAATCCCATGTACAGACTTCGAACATGGGCGCTGCATATGATAACTAGTAATACATTGAAGTAAGAAGCAAGGACTCAGTGGTTTCCACTCAGATTTTAACAGTTGTTGCGACTATTTGACTATTACCATAAGCAGTGTGTGAGAAACTGAGCGTGAGTGAGGAAGAATGACAAAGAAATTGAATAGTGTGGTTCATCAGTGCTGGTCAGATTAGAACAGGATTAGCAAGGAAAGGCCTGATTGGAAAAAAAAAAGAAAGACAAAATCTGTGTCAGCAGGAGCATGGAGGGGGATCTCTTCTGGTTTTTCCCAGAACTTGTCATTATGGGCAGAGATGACATCATCTAGATATTCGTCACCATCACTACGGGGGCTGAAGGAAGAGGTTTACCAGCTTTGTTTGTCACAAGGCCCTGTGGCTTTGCTTCATCAACCAGTTTTGTCTAGTAGCTTAGGGATTGTGGCAGTGTAGAAGAGTGAAGAAGAGACTTTTAAATTCTTTGAAAATAACAACAAAAGGAGATGAAAAAAATTATCTCAGATTGTTCTTTTTACAGCCATTTCTAGGTCAACATATCTATCTTCTTGAAAAATCTCAAACTGTTTTGACTGCCATTTGGCCAAACCTTTCAAAAATTCTTATTTGCTTACTAGCTGCGTTTCTATTCATTACCTTGACTCAATTAATTTAAAATGTACCTAAGATTCTTTTTAGGCTAACTTTAAGCTACATAGAGGGCAACTATGCACTATGTTTGGCTAGCATTTTTGGCTGTTTCTGGCTTGTACATGTAAGCTAACTATTGGTTAGCTTAGCTATTTGAATGACGTTATTTACTTATCTTCGTAGCTATCTTTGTTTGAACATTTTGGGGGGGGGGGTTTCTCAGGTTTATGCTTACCTGTAGCCGTTTTGGCTTCCCTTTTTTCTCCCTTTTTCCAAATATTTGTCTTTCCCCCCATAATTCGGCTTACTATAACCAATGTTTGGGATAGTGTTTCTTTACTAGCAGTTTCCTGTTTTGTTAGATCTATGCAAAGCAAAATGTCTCTAAAAGGTCATAGCTTGAATTATAACAAACCTTGAGTTAACCAAAATAACTTCCTTTGCACTAAATACGTCTGTTTAATTGCAGTACGTTAGCATATAGTCTATTTTAAATCTTCTGATGGGGACATTTGTGTTGTTTTTTTTTTACATTTTTGCTGTATATCTGCCCTCCCTAGACAGAGTTTGGGGCACCCTTGGTTTAGGGGCCTGTGGTTTTATGAGATGAGGGCACAGTACACCGTCTTTATGTAAGTCAAACTACCCGGTCCTTATATTTTACTTAAGTGTCGTATTTTTACCCAGGTGTACTGTACATGAGGACTCTTTTTGGCAGGGTTTGGGACCCAAAAAGGGCTGTGGCTGTTTCTGGTGGCTCCCCACATGACAAGTGTAATAGTATGTTTTCATGGGGCCTGGGTGCCAGCGTGAGGCTAAGTAGCTTATTTAGGTCACTGGCTATAAAAAGTTTTGAATCCCCTGGTTTAGAACGGGAAACCCAGAATCCCGCAAATGTAGACTCTGCAGTCCAGTGTGCCAACACATTAAATCTGAAATTGGCCAGTAGCCACCATCTGTGCTAAATATGCATTGAATGGGGTGAAATCATCATGACACTTGCCAGTCATCCCTGTCCTCTGCTCTCATTAGTTTATCTCCGCTTTTTAATCCTACGACTAACAGCTGCACCTGGACGTGGGGGCCGTCATCATGGTTCCGATTCAGACCCCATTTTGCTGTCAAGCAGCAACATAAGAATGCTTTAATGGTTTGTGTTTGTGGGACTAATATTACACCTGTCAGCGTGACGTAGCTTGTGATTAGTTATTTTAATCCCACACTGTCTGTAATTTTTAAAGCTGTGCTGTAAATCACTGACACTGCTGATAACAGTAATCCTGTGGGAATTAAGCAGCACTTCACTGCAGCTGCACTCTCTTGGTATGCTCTACAAAGGGACAGAGTAGTGACAGAAAACAAGAACAATAATCTACGGGATCATAATGGAACACAACAAAACACGGTGTAAGTAATGTGTGGAGCCTCAGTCCGTCAGAATTTGACGTGTTTTTCATACAGTCCTGTATATTCCTATAAATAAAATCCATTCAAAATTGAAAAAAAAAGTTTAAAAAAATTCAAAACCGTGGCTTTTTTTAAACGTTTTTTAAATATTGTTATTGGTTTGCAGATGTTAGAATGCACGTTACCTGGACTCTGGAAATGTTAAATAGTTCTTCTCTGTAACACACTGCTTATGTGTGACTAGGTGAGCATCAGTCTGTGCTTCTAAACAAGTGATGCCATCATTGTCCTAGGAAAAAAAGCTGGATTGCAGCATTTTATCAAAAGTTACTGTAGCAGACCTTGAACACTTGACCTTTTTGAACACGCAGTTCTTTGAACACTGAAGGTTTTTCTAATGGCACTCACTTCAAAAGTCAAGTCTAGACGTATCTATATTGGTACAATCATGGAAACAACTATGTTTGCTTGTTTTGTTTTCTTTTAGAATTCTCTAGGATATCGTTCTTTTACATCAACACATTTAAAGCTCAAACGTACAAAAACACCAAGACACTGGACAAAAGCTAAGACATCAAGAAATCCTCAGTACCTCAGTTTTGTTAGAAACAGACTGCCTGTGGCTTATTGGTTTAAGGATTGGGCTTGTTATCAAAGGATTGATGGTTGGCATACTGGCCCAACAGAGGTGTGTTGTATTAAGCAAGAATTAAAAACTCCCCACCTCAGTAAAGTAAAGTGCCCCCTACTGCTCCTGCTTTTTATGGATGGGTTAAATGCCAAGGACATTGTTCATTATGTGCGTGTGTGTGTGTGTGTGTGTGTGTATTTGTCCGAGGACAAATAAAGTTTTTTCTGCTCCTTCTAAAGTTTGCATTGTACACAATAGAAGAGATTTCTGCATGTTCATGCACTAGTGTGGGTGTGATACACATTCCTGTCAACTGTATAAGAAGTCTACACATAAAGCTCATCGTTTGGCCTGCGGTTGGACGGTAATGGTGCAAATTATGTATTTAACAAAGATGATTTAGTGACGGTTGTCCTTAAAAAAAATAAAACGTCAATGTATGTGAATCTCTTTTTTTAAAAGGAGGTCCAGATGGTGCCCTGCTTCCTGTACCTGAATCTGTGGTGCCCCAGACTAAAGTGCCCATATTTGGAAGGGACCCCATCAGCAGTCGGAAGGCTCAGGCCATGAAGCAGGCTAAGGATCGCAAAAAGCAGGTGGCCAGACTGGGTTCATCCCCTAACTTGGAGTTCCCCCCTCTCAGTGTGGACAAACTGGACCCTGAGTTTGTAAGTGATGACAGGAATGACAGCAGATTTTCTTTCGCTTCAGCTGCAGTTTTCCAGAAACAAAAACCTGACACTGCCTTGGGCTCTATTTGTCTTGCACTCTGGTAAGAAACTAGTTCTGACAAATCAGCTGCCTCGATGCCCCGTAGGGCCTCCTTTCACACGGGACAACATGGTGTGAAAACATTGAAATGCCAAATTATGAACATTATTTCTACATGAGGCATTCTCCGTCTGTATTAGCTGCGAGTTCAGGGCGTTTTCATGCATCAAATGCATAAACCAGGTGACAATTAATAAGTCCTGCATTAATTAAGACTGTTATCATTATGATCTTTCTGTCTTCTCTTGTAGGGACCGTGCAGAAGAAGACTTGATAATCTTATTCAGAGCATGAAAGACAGCTCTCGGGTATTGGCTCTGTCCTTGTACATTCCAAATTGTGACAAGAAGGGTTTCTTCAAGCGCAAACAGGTAGTGAAATTATTGTACATTTTCACACAGTGTAAAATGTTTTTAAAAAATTCCAGTAAAAAATCCAACCAATCAGCCCACCTTAACAATGTTTTGATTGTAGTGTAAACCTTCCCGTGGTCGTAAAAGGGGAATCTGCTGGTGCGTCGATCGGTTCGGGGTCAAAATCCCAGGCATTAACTACACAGGCGGAGACCTGCAGTGCAAAGATCTGGACAGCAGCAGCAACATCAACGAATGAGACTGACAGCTGCGGTGGTTGAGTCACTGAGCCCCCCAGGCCCCATCTGCTCCAAACCTGCCAATCAAAGCTCCGGTACACTTTATGACTGCCAGTCAGGAGAAGACAGCACAATGCTATGGTCAGGTGTGATGGACTGTATTATTATTTTTATTCTTCTTTTCATGGGGAGTCAAAGTGAAAAGCTTACTTAGATAAAGGTCTCCTCACTGTCTGTGTACCATTGTTCGAGGTTAGCTAACGCCTCCTCTCTTCATATCCATATAGAAATAGAGAAGTCTATATATTTGTATGATGTATGATATTAATTACGTGTTGTGAATACGAGACAAAACATTTTCATAATGTGGCATTATTATTTTTTTTTTTTTGCTGTTGTTTTTCTGATTGGAGCAAAACTGGGACAAGTTGGAGACACAGTCGGTGAGTAGGTGCTTTTTTGAATGGCCAATTTGAGAAGAGAAGCTGGTTGTATGACATTTGAAGCTCAACTATCTTAGTATATTAACTACGCAGCACTGTTAATACTTACATGCACAGTTAAGTTACACTAACAGCCAGACTGGGCAGTGCTTGCCTCAGTATAAAAGAATGGGAGGGGGACGATTTTGCTACAAAAGAAGCAGTTAGATTCCTTTCAGCCAGTTAATGCCAGGCTATTTTCAGTTGACCCGTTAGCTGTTAGCAATTTAATTACTCTGTCTATTTAGTGCATGCTATGACGTTGACTCTGTCCTTTATGGTTATGGTGTTATGGTGTTATTTAAGAGTAAACACTGATACCGTGCTAGCATGCTCAATTGAAAGGGTGGTCTTTGTTGTCAAAGGTCTAGGAGGTGATTGTGGGTCATTAGCAGTGCTCCTAAAAAGTCCCAAAGGGTCAAGTTCAACACGTGCAACTTTAGCAGTGCTATTATTTGCTTAAAATAACATTTGTTAGGTGTAAATTGCACTGCGTCCATTTTTCTTTTTACCACCGTGAGCCAAATCAGGTACCACAGAGCCAACTGAAGCATAAGGGAATAGTTTAAATCCTAAGAAAATTCCGGCTCATTCAAGGTAGACTTTTTTGAGTTTAGCATTAGCACGGTGGAATTGAAATCCTGCAGCTAGCACATCCACAAACCATTGTTTTGTAATATTGGGCTGATTCTCCCAGGGATGTTGTGTGTGTTTTTGTAAGTAACATGTGGATTTAAGGAGAATAAGTGAGAAAATAAGAAGAAACAAAATGCATAAAAAAAGTGCAGCGTGGTTGTACTACTCTCACATGATCCACCTGTCAATGCTGAGCAGCGGACAATCACTTTGACCCACTTTTTGTCTATTTTCTCTCTCTTCCTGACCAAAAGCTTTTGATAAATAAGTCAGGATTATCAAAAATATGTCACCTCTGCAAATGATGCAGCAACTTTTGTTGCCTCCTGTAGTTTCACTCTGGTAATGGCATAGCATTGGTCAGATGTATTGTCCATGTGGGACAAAACCACATAGATGTCTTGTTTTAGTGTGCTGTCCACCCACATGTGTCACTCACATCACATAAATGAATTGCTTTACTTAAAAACACAAAAAAAGGGTTAAAAAATAATTCTAAATTATAGATTTGATTCTTTTTCCAGTGCCCGTAGCTCATTGTTGTGCCATGGACAGAGTTGCCTAAAGGTCTACATATTCTGGAGTGAAGCAGGTCATATTGCCGGGCACTTTACCCCTGACCCACTGGTTTTATGCCCAATTTTAATGAAAACAGACTGCATTCGTCCGTTGTAAATGTAAAGTGTTTGAGTATGTATGTGTACTGTACGTGCCATGGCCTCAAAGTTCTCAAACTCCTGTAAAGCTCTATCAGCTGTTCTCAAGCTACCGGCCGCCAACATGGCATTTCCCTTCATACAAATTGTATGCAAAGGCTACGTCCTGTTTATTTCTTTCCATGCAAGGGGATCATTACTGCCACTAGGCAAGCAAATGTTTTTTGCTCTCAGGGTTCATCAGGTCCCTTCAAACCTGTGAAGAGCAAGGCTGCCGAGTTCATATGTAAATTCAAGTGCCTTTTGCCCTCACCACTTTGAATCTCGATTTGCATGTAAATCCTGTGGGTCACTTGAAGCTCCAACACCCACACAAAAAAATGACAACAGCATCAGTGGTAAAGATTTATTTAGCTTTTTTCTTCTTCTTCTAAGTGCAGCATATTGGTCATAATTTTTCAGTCAGCCGCAGCTCCACGTACTTTGACAGGGCTGTCACTTTTCACTGTGTATACTTTCCAAATAGTTGAAAGTATAAAAGAAAGCACTGTCAAAGTCCATTTTAATTTAGACCATCTGGAGAAGTAATGAAGTAATGAGGATGACCAGTGTAGGACAACTAGGTGTAAATCAACCACAGATACCTTCCGCTTCAACAAAGGAAAAAAACAAACAAAATGGAAGTTCTACTAAATGGCTTCTGTCCTTGAGTGCACTGATGAGTGCAAAGATCCGGCCTGTAGCTAAGTCTTTGTTTTTTCAATAGACATCGTCTATTCCTGGCCCTTCGTTATGCTATTTCTTGCCTCGTTAAAACCCATTTAAATACACACACATTAGAGGGAACTCATCACATTCATAACACATCATAAGCTATCTGTACATATAGAAATATTTACATTAAATATACCATTGAGTTGGTACATTTTCTTGAGTTTTAAAAATATTGCATTGTCCACCACAGTGTTTCTTGCCAAAAAATAATGCCTTTGTGCCTGCACAGGGCAATCTTGCCAAAACATAATGCCTTTGTGCCTGCACAGGGCAAACAAGCTGCTTACTGAGGTTCTCAACACTGCTTTTGTGGAGTTTTTGGCCTAAAAAAGCAGACGCCAGATACAAGCATCTGTATGCGAATATGTTTTTTGGTTCTGGAGTTTTACCACATCTCAAATAACCCCTTTTTACTGTCATAATGCTGCTTGCTGACCATTGAAGCCTTTGTGGCCGCAAAAGGGGGAACATGGTGCTCGATTTATACTTTATTTGTTAAAATAATCCAAGAAGCAAAAAAAGTGACAGCCCTAGTCAAAGAAGGTCATAATCAAAAGTTCAAACACATATCCTTTGTTAAATTATTTGCTGGTATGTTTTAAATCACTCAGTTGTAGGTTAAGCACAGTAACTGATTTCAGAATTTAAAAAAAGACATTAATGTGAAAATTAAGGTGAAATATTTATCAGGTGTGTAATTGATGTACTCTTTTCCTTTTCTAATACCAAATTACTGTTTAAATAAAGTTCCTGTACTCACAAAAACCTTCCTTTCTTTTCAAAAGGTGATTTGTTCATGCATCACTCACCGTCTTTTCTTTTGCTTCGGCTCGTTTTAGACATTTCTCAGCTACCATGACACTTTAGCGTACCTACTTTTAGCACCTACCTGTTAGATGCAAGACAAAGGTCTTTTGGCTAATCTTTAACTCTGTCTCTAAGTGTTCTATTAGCTGATTTTGGCCATATTCCAAGTAGCGAGGCTATATTTTAGCTAAAGTATCTAACTAGATTTATTGTTTTTGTTTATAACTATTTAGCTTAGTTACTATAGTTTTCCTCACACCTTTGATATATTCATTGCTAGCTTTTAGCAGTACTTATATTGCTATATAATCAAAAAGATTAAAAAATTCAACTTTGGCAAAATGTAAGGGCTACAGTATGAAAATGACAACAAGGCTTAGCAAAAAGTTTCCAAAAGAGTGTGTAGACCTTTCCAAATTCGCCCTTTATAAATCCAGTTGATTTACTTGACAGGTAAAAATGACATTTGGTCTTCGTTTTAACATAAAGAAAAGACAGTGACAGGTACAAAATGAAGTCATTACCATTTTAATAGTTTTTGACCTGTAAATCACTGGGGAGCCTCAAGCAATGTGACCCCACCCTTCTCTGTCCAACATTAAATGCACTTGCTCTTGCCAGCGTGTCTTACATTTCACCATTAAGTGTGCATTAGAAGTGAGTTGTATTTAAAGTCTACTACTGTTTAGCATACGTGGGCAGCAGCAGTCTGCAAGCTAGGGCAGGAGAGGAGCTGGATGGGAACAGCTTCCAGGCATCTCCTCTTTCAACACATACAGTACAAAAGAGCGAGAAATGAGCAAATCTGAGCAAAAGTCCCAGTTAGTAAGGCAATGACTGTGGCGTCTACTGAGGCAACTGAGACTGACCTGTGTCCTACATCCATTTGTCAGGGACCTAAATGTCAACTAGAGAAACATAAACACATACTGAGATAATATTTAGCTTACTCAGATGTTTCCTTTTTTTCACATTTTTACTTTATTTTACCCGCTCTAAATCTGGGATAAGTCAGGGATTTCCAGATCCAGCTCTGTCAGGTACTGGCTACAGTTGGGGTCACCCCTCACAGTGGGGGCTGATGGGATAAGTCGACCCGTGTGGGGGTTCACGCACCAGCACTCTCCTCGCTGACCGTGCAGAGACATCTTGCACTGAAACAAGTGAAAAAAATTGTTAACGTTTGTTTGTCTGAGCAAAACTAACTTCAAGAACCAAACAATGTCCCCCCCTAAAAAAAGTCCAAGAAGACTAGAAGAGATCTGTTTTAGGTTCTGACAGGTGAATGGTCAATGAATCACTTGTAGCATTAAGCAGTAACAGGCACAGTCAATAGGAAAAGTAGAACCGTTTTTATGCTAAAAGATCATTTCTAGAGGTAAAATACTTTTAATCCCAAATATTTTAATAGTAATGATGTAAACTAATAGATATTTATACGTCCATATTTGATGTTCTCTGCACACTCACCACCAGATACCCAGCTGTTACCTGTTTGAGGTTATACTGCCCCCTCTTGTCACAGTTGGGGATGTGCAGGGCATAGAGGTCCTCCAGAGGACCTCGGTTATCTCTGAAGGGCATCTTAGATATCCTCTCCAACACCTGGTCCAGCTCCTGCTGACACGCAGTCTGGTATAAGGACGAAAAACAAAGAGGGCGGTCAGGTTCGCGGCTATTGCGCCACTAGGGGGCAACACAGCACTGACTTTTTAGGTTTTAGTCACGCAGACCGTCATATTTGGGGGGGTTTAAGAAAAAAAAGACAGCATCTGATTTTGTATTTGTTGAGGGGTTTGAGAAAAACAAAGACAGCATCTGATTTTGTATTTGTTTTTCGCTTCATGCTATTGAGCTCAGAAAATTTTTGTTGGCGTTTTGACAGTGTAATGTGTTGTATGTATTACATTATACTATAGGCAAACAGGCATGCATCATTATGCCTGTTTGCTGAAAAATCCTTAAGATAACCTGAAAATGGGAATCGATTTCTGTACAGCACCTAGACTGTNTCTGTCATTGGGTTCCACACCAATGACAGAGACATTGAATGAAATGTATCACAGTTAATTACGTTGTAATAAGGTAGGTCCATCCATCCATCCATTTTCATCCACTTATCCGTTGCCGGGGCGCGGGGGCAGCAGTCGCCACCCAAATCACACTGCACCGTACCAACTCCCCAAACCTTCCTGCGGGTGGTGGTCTCTGTCATTGGGTTCCACACCAATGACAGAGACATTGCCTCTGGGCCAAAGCGCCACGTAATAAGGTAGGTGTCCTTTCTAAATATGACAAACTTTTTTTCTGTTTAGTGGTATTGTCTTTATTTGCCTGTTTTATTAGCAAACATTTGTGAATGTTTGGCCAAGTTTATTTTGAAGGGAAAATATAAGCTCTATAATTAAAGGGGTAGATTTTTTAATTTGACCTTGACAATCACAAAACTTCATTTTTAAGGGCAAATTAAAACATCTGGTCCAAGACATGAGTGATTTAATATAAATAATAATAATATAAATCCAAACACGTCCATTACTGCACAGTGATCTTGTCAACATTCATACAGATTTACAGCCTTATTTTACCGTTTCTAACACCTTTGCTTTTTTTCTCACCTGTCTGGGCCTCGGGGGCTTCACCTCCTCCACCTTGTTGGTCTTCATCTTGGTCTTCATCTCCTGCCTATGCTGACGAACAGCACTCTCCTTGGGTCCCAGCCATGTGGTCTCTTTAGTTGGCTTACGGAGGACAGGGATTTCGCTTACACCTCGGTCAGGAATGGGTTCAACCACCTCTCCTGCAGAGATTGAAAAGAATAATAAAGACCAAAAAGGCAAAGGAGTAATCAATATAAATGTAAGGATCCATCAATGTCTGTTTTTGCATAATGAAAAAGGCAGTGCTTTTACTGATAAGAACAAATAAGACTGGAGTTCTTGTTCAAGGACACTCATGTAAAGCACTTAACCCTTGACATTTCCAGACCACTGATCCCCTGTGCTGTCCTCCTGCCCTCACTTTGGTAATGGATTAGACCTTTTAGAGGCTGAAAGTGGCCTGGATAAGCTGTGATCATTTTTCACACTGACACAGTGGGTGAGTGTGTGCTGCTCTAATAAAAGGATTTTGTAGAAAAATGGTTGACTTTGACCGTGAAGCTGTTAAGGTTTTAGTTGGTCCTGGTCTCTGACATCCACATCATCAGATTGACAGGCATGCAGAAAAAAATGTGGGGTTTTTTTTACTTCTAATTTTGCCTAAACATTAACATTTTTTTTTTACTCTACTTCTAATTTTGCCTAAACATTAACAATCACTGCAGGGTGTTTTTAAACAGAGGAAAATCCATCAGTCAGGATGATGGATGTTCCATTTTCAGGCTACGCTTCTCTGAACAGTTGACACCCTCAGGCCCTTGTCACTGGTCTGGCCTCGGGACTGACCTTGAGAAGATGTCTTTATTCCTGTTCTACTCCTGACCCTTCATCTGAGACAAATTAGTCCCACAGTACTCTGGTGTAGCTCCCATGATCCTTATAGGGCACTTAAGAGAGAATGTGAAGTATCTGTCGATACCAATATCAATTCCGATGCTTTCTTTTCTCCTCCAGCATACCGCAGGCTGCTGTTGCTGAGGCGATAGATGTCGCGCAAGGTAACAAAATTATATCTGTCTATCTATCTGAGTCAGTTTGAGCATTGGGGGTCAGATGGGCTACAGTTGTTGTTTTGTTTTTTTTCAATGTACAATCCTGAAATTTTGACCAATATCTGACCGATACCGATCTTGAGTATCAGATGGAGCCTGTATTTGTGTTGTCTTTTAATCTCTTCCAGTAGCTCCACCATTTCAACTTTCAATTCTGTCATCACCACCCCCTAAAGGTGGATGCTCCTGTTAACCTGCTCTTCACAACTACAGCTGATCAGCAGTTGAATTCTTGTTTCTGGAAAATAATGGTCTCTTTCAGACCATTATTTTCTTGACCTTTCCCTCTGTCCCTTGACTCTCATGTAGTGTGTTCCAGTCAATGATTTCTAGAGTCTTTAGTTTTCTGTTGCCAGTTAATGTTCTGTTAAGGGTAATTACATGTCCCAAAACATTTAACATGTGTAGGCTCTGCAGAGCCTGTGCCACAGCACCACACAGTGGTCACAGTAAGTGCTATAAATGCAATAGATTTAATTATATATTTTTTTTGTCTGTGCAATTCTCCACATCCTAAAACTAGTCAGAGCCAAGCAGCAGACGAATAACAAACAAAGGGAGATGAAAAGAAAAAGCAAGAAAAAGTCAAGGTGTCTGCGAGTGGATGGTTGAACAGTTACGCCAGGGTCAGACTGTGACATGCAGACTTGTTGAAGCGTTTTTGTTGGAGGCCAGAGAATGATTGTCCGCGCTCCACAAGAGGTACATTTGACATCCGGTCATGGAATATTATCACAAAAGACCTAAAAGAAACACGGGGAAAAGGAAATTCCAAACAGAGCCTCTAGCCAGTTATTAATGTGACAGTGTTGCACGACTGAGTTCGCTCGCATGCTTGTCTCCGTGTGCGCACACAGAGTGTCAGGAGCTGACTTTTGTTTTGCTGCATTACATAACAACTGCAGTATCCAAATACAAATTCATCACATCCACTCTTCTGCACAAACCTGAGAAAATCTGTCCAGTACAGTGGAAGAGCAGCAAGGTTTTTTTAGAGGAAGGGGCCACACAGTGGTGGATGTGGTTAGTGCACCTTACAGCAAGATTTTCCGGTTCCCTGTTAGTGTGTGAGGGATTTCTCCTGGTACTGCAGTTTACTCCCATAGTTCAAAAACATGTAGATTATGGAATAGGCTGATGAGTAGATCCATCTGATAGGTCAATGACGATCATCACACCTGACACACCTGTCTGTAATCCTACAAAAGCAATGACTTTTGTGTAATTGTAGCTGGCTAAATGGATGCTGATGTGAAGGCTAAGTGTATAGACACAGCAAGAAATCACCTAAAGCAGAACCAACCCTTTAAATACAGGAATGTTTACAGAAATACCCTTTCAGCACACTTCACAACTGTGAAGTAGGTCAACTGCCACTTAAGATGTTTGTCAGAGGGCACTGTGCCAAGGAGCTGCAGTCCATCATCTGTTGCAGGGCCTGGTGGGACTGTTTTCCTAGAAACTCGTATTGGGCAGAGTGCACTTGTGTTTACCTTCCAGGCTTTTTGGCTTGAAACGCTCATCTGCAATCAGCTTTGGGCAGGTTCTGGCACGTCACGCACTCACAGACACACTCTAGGGCGATTGTATGAGACCTGAAGTAGGACATGAGCCCAGACAGGCTGCAACACATCCAAACATGAGGGCATCGCACACATCTACTACTGACAATCAACCACTGAAGGTTGGTTGGTTGATGGGCTTTGATGGCAGAACTGCATGAAGAAAAAACTTGTAGTCTATTCAGGCACAGGGACAAAGAGACATTTTTGGTGATTTGTTTGAAAACAGGGGCCTTAACAGGAAAAGTCCTGACAGTGATTTGGTACTATGATGACTACTTATACCCAATTCCCCCGGGATTGGCTGCGAGCACAAATATTGCCTAGAGCAGTGTTTTTCAACCGTAGGGTCGGGGCCCCACGTGCGGTCGCCTGGGATTTAGTAATTGATAATAAAAAATAACAGATAAAAATATTTTTTATTATTATTATTATTCATTATCATTATTTTTCTCTTTCAAATTATGATTTAAAACACCACACATAATCTTAAACAACTGTATTCTTTGACTTTAATGAAAATTAAATCAAATTAAATACAAATATCTGAGCTGGAGAATCTTGATAGAAAATGTCTCTGGGTTTGATGGAACTTGAAACTGTAATGTTTAAAATGGGGCGGAACCCAAAAAGGGTTGGGAACCACTGGCCTAGAACCTTCTGGTGACAGGCAAGAATCCTATCACCATTATTCTAGATTTTTTTTTTTTTAAATGGGACAGACATAAAGTGACATCACTCAGTAACATTTTAGATGATTCCTCAGTTAATGGGTTAACTCACAAACATTCACCAAAGGTCGAGTCCAAAGGTCAAATAAAGATCTACTTGTCAATTAATACGATTGTGAAATGCTTCAGGGGGTCAAGGGAGAGGGAGTATGTGTGAGGGCCAAGAGACTAAACTGATCTTGCTGATCTTGTAGGGAGTATCACTGAATCACCAAGAGTTCTCAGGACTCTTGTGAGCTTGTTTTAGCTCTAACCCTAACCCTTTCTCTGCAAAAAATAATACGTGTGCAAATAGTCACAGTGCACAACTGACCTGCCTGCCTGCAGTCCACATCTGTCTAATATTAAAATGTCTATTACATTATAAAGAAGAGAACTGGGCGATGGTGACTCGATGCTAATGAGAAGCTCATGTATTTTCAACACTAAAACACCAAAACAACACACACAATTGCAAAATAGCCACTATTCACATTCTTCAGTTTTGAGTTAAGGTGTGTTTAAAATAAGTTGGGGGGTTGTTGTTGTTGTTGTTGTTTTTTACATTTTTACCAAACTACAGATTTTAGTTTTTATATTATTTTTAGGGAGTATGCTAACATTTCTTGATGGATTTGGTATCTCTGTGGTAACATTTAATTATATAATTTGTTGGATCTTTTTTGTAGAGCTGTGTACCGGCCTGTCCATGGACACAGAACCCTGCCCCTTCTGTCTTTTGGGTTAGATTTGTGAGGTAATGTCTGTTCAGTATTGACTTACAATTGACTTTATGCATTATGTTAAGAGTTTATTCTTTACAATAACAAATATTTGTTTAAAAAAAAGAAGAGTTTGCCAAGTGAAAAGTTGCTAATGTGGCTAACCTCTTGTTTTTTCCTTCTATTTCTTTTTGAATTATACTGTGGCAGATGTCAGATAAATCTGGCTATTTAGTAATTATAAATTAATAATAATAATAATTATAAATTAAAGTCTTAGATAATAATAATAATTAGTATTAGTATTATTGGTATTATTATCAACAATAATAATAATGACAACAATAATATTATTAATGATAATGATGATGATGACAATAATGAATTAGTTGATTTATTGGTGTTTTGCTTTTTTCTGGCTTGTAGTGATAGTATTAGTAGTTCATTATTATTATTATTATTATTATTGCCTTTATTCGTTTGTATTTGCTGTTTAATTAAGTTTTAATTCTATCGTTTTGAGTTTTTGATCATGAACAACGTTTTAGAGTGTTTTGACAACTTTTTATATTTGCTCTTTTTTACAGTATGTTTTGACAACTTTTTATATTTGCTCTTTGTTATGACCAACTTTAAACCACTTAATCAGACAATTTATAGTAGATCAACCTTGAACCTTTTTATTGAAATTCCATTCCTTTTTTATTTAATTTGTATTAACAGTTTTATGTTGACAAACCTTTAGCAATTTTAGAATGTTAAGATATTTTGATTTTTGATTTTTTTTTGCTTTATTTCATTATTTATCTATTTTAAATTCATGTTTAGTCATAATTGGATTGGCACTGTTTGCAATGTGTGTAAAAAAATAGTTTTTAAAAGTTAAGATTGACATTTTTTATTATCTCTCTCTTCTAAGCCACTTATAGTCTGTGCTAACGTTTGTTGGCTCTGGCTGTAAAATGTTAGCCATTAATGCTAAATGTATGTCAAATGTGTGGTTTGTCTAATTTACCCTTGTTTAATTAGAGAATTATTCAAAAGAAAAGAGAAAGTAAAAATAAGAAAACTTGTTTGACTGTTCAGATTTTTTCTGGTGTGTTTTAAAACCATTTTTTCCAAATTTCATTCCAAATCCTCATCAACTTGGATCCTGAGCCCGGCCAACCTTCAGTGTCTGAACTGTAAGTCGAAGTAGTCTGCAAAATATATTTCCAAAAACCTGTTTTGGAAATTACACTTGAATCTTAGTTTATATTTCATTGTGAATTACTTTTTAGATTTCAGAGCCCTCTTTTTTTTTTCTTTTTTTTACTATTTTTTTCACATTTCTGTTTTCAGACCTTCAGCCTACAAGCTACAGCACAGCCTGAACCGTAGCCTCGGGCTAAAAAGTGAAAAAAGAAAACTGACATTTAACAAATTATTCTCTTTTCAGGCAAGTCTTCACATGGTGGTTTTTGGTGTCGTATTGTCTAATTGAACTGTTTTTTTTTATTTGAGCAGCTCCTCAGAAGCAGACTGGGATTTGGAAGTGAATGATTATCATGGCTGCTGATTAAATCCTTCGTGTGTTTTGACCTTTTGTCAGCAGGCTGCAGAGTCCACAGCTCAGAGAACAGCTCTGTGTTCTCAACACTGTCTCACACAGTTTATGTTCCACAAAGCTTCAGAGAGTCAAAGCAAACACACGTCTGTCTCCAGGTTAACTTTGACAAAGGCATGGATTTAGAAATCAGTGCAGGTGTTTCTCCATTTAATAACAGTGCTACAGCACTACAGTCCCAGTAGGCTTTAGTAAATATCTTTCCTAGTCTCAGAAAAGCACTTCAAAGATTCACGATTCCTCAGAGTTCACAATACTAGCTTATATTAAGCCAACAAGTACAATAAAATACAATAAATAAGGAAATAATATTACCAAAGAGTAATAACTACTACAAAGCGATACAAGATTAACCAAGCTCTAATAAGAAGACACTATAAAAGGATTCAAGCTAACTAAACGGTAGAAAAAAAGCAGACAACAGGAAAACAAAAACAACATTTTAGGTCAATTCAACTACATTTTCCTCCAAAAGGTAAAAGACATTTAGCTTAAAGAGCCAGAATTTAGCTAAACCTCTCCAAACATTTCCCAGAATGTAGCTTCTAGTTATAGCTTTTGCTAAGATATAGCTGACTCAAAGGAAGAATTTTTAAGCCCCATGAAACCAGTCCATGTGCCACAATTGTTCCCTTAGCCGGACTTTGGAAACATCTGATGTAGACAGTGAGTGACTGTAAACACTGACTCCTGGTCAAAGCCTAAAGTCCATGTTTTGGAAGGATGAATCGTTGTGGGTGTGTATGTGTGGGTATATGTGTGTGTGTGTGGTCTAAGTGTAGCTATTCTTGTGGGGACATGTTTTTCATACTTTGTTGTGGGGATCATTTTTTCCATTCGGGAACATTTTTCAGGTCCCCAATATGAAAGTATTTTGAGTATTGAGTTAGGATTAGAATCAGGGCCAGGTTAAAGTTTTGGTGAGGATACAAATTAGGCAGACAGTTAAGGTTGGGGAGTGCAGTATGTCTATGTGAAGTCCTCCGAAGTCATGAAAACCTGACCTGTTTGTGTGTGTGTGTGTGTGTGTGTGTGTCTTCCTTCTCAGACACCCTGTTGAAATGTCAACATCAATACTTGATGTTTTCTCTATCCACCCTCCTCTGCAGCAACTTCTTGGAATTCTCTGTGAACACCACCTCTCCCTTTTATTTCCACTGTGAATTTTTTATACATGAAGATAGTGGTTCTGGCTGAGCCCAGATGTGTCCATGGGATCACGGCGGAGGATCACTCGTTCCTTTTGTTTACCTCATTTACGCCCAGCTCCGTCCTGTGCTCTGCAGGACCTCGGAAGGAGCTTTGAACAGGTCTAACAATACATCAGACCAGAGCAGAGACAGACTCACTGTATCCAAAAATCACAGCCTTTATAATTCCTTTTTGATATATTGAAATTGTGAACTGCAAGTGCATCACAAAAGAAAACCACAGGGGTGCAAAATGTTTTCAAAAGGGGCCCGAATTCAAAAATGTAAAAACATCCCCTGCTCCTTTTGTAATACTTGAAACTATAATTAAATTTCTTACAAAAACAGAAACAAAAATCTTTCACTTTAAAAAAAAAGTGAAATGAGGCAAACCATGCTCAAATCTTTCACTCAAAAAAGTGAAATGAGGCAAACCATGCTGAACAAGTGCAAAAGGTTCATTTAAATAAACAAATAAACAATAAGTTGAATTGGCAAACAACATATTAGCCAAAAGTAGGTAAAAAAGGAAATGCTGTAGCAATACACTGTCTGATACAGAAGAATAACTGGTAACTGGTAACTGGTAACTGGTAGTGGAAAACGATAAAGACTAGCTAACAATAAATTACCTTAGTAATTATTCTAAATGACATTCATTGTTTTTACTGAACAAACCAAAACACTGATTACCACACTGTGTCATGTCTAGTGAGTAAAAGACTACAGTGGTCAGTGGTCAGTGGTCAGTGGTCAGTGGTGCCTTCCCCAGTTCTCATTAGGAACCAACCTGGACTGCAGACAGGCCGGTCAAGTGCATACACACTCTGATTCATTTGTGCAAAGAAGGTCCCAACATGTGGCCAGTGAAAAGTTTTGAGCCTGTGTGACTGTCTGCTACAGTAGCATGGAGGTTTCTATTGTAGGCCTGAATCCTCATGTACATTCAGCAGTAGTTCTCACCCTTTTCTTTACAATATCTTTTTGTACAAGTAACATCTGTTACTGACAGGACTTAATCCATTTTCTTTTCAACTTTTTCCTATAAAATCAACAAAAGACAGGTCTCTGTCTCTTTCTAGAGACAGCACTGAATTCTTCCAGGAAATAGACTAACTAACTAAAGGGTAATCAATAAATGCAAATAGTTAGCCTTGCAATAAATACAAGTTACAATACAAGTTACCAAATATAGCTGTTGAATTAATGTAAAAAGTTACTCAAGAGGGAAAATGCATGTAGATAAAATGGCAAACCTAATTTGAAAAAATACATATGGATACTTACAAAAGTAACAAAAGACATTGCTAAATGTTAGCCAAAAATAGGTAGAAGTTAGCTAAATTATGACTGCAACTATTTTTTAAACAAAATGAGAAATAGCTAGTAGTTAGTAGTAAGAGAATAATAAAGTAATTGAGAAAGATGGGCCAATGAAGGATACTAAACGGACATCTTTCTTACTTTACAACAAAGACATTTGTTCCAAACCCTGACACAACTGGCCCGAGATCCAGACTTTGGACATTATGAAATGATTAAGTGGAAACCTCTGTCTGTTCTGTCAGTTTCAGTCTGTCGCATCAGAAAATTTGGACTGACCACTGCTCTGCTCCCGCTGCTCCTGACTGGACGCTATCGTCTCGGGGTCCACTCTGTGTCGGCACTGGCCCTGACCCTGCACCAGCTGCTCCAGGGGCAGATCAGAGTCGGGGGTCGGGTAACAGCGTAGCCCGTGGGCGCACCTTGGTGTATAGACGCCGCACGCCTCGCCCTCCTGCCGGGCGCACACCGGGCAGCAGCCGCAGCCCGGTTCGCGCACGATCTCGGCGCAGGTGTCGGTGGGCTGGGGACACAGCGCGAGACGCTCCGCGGTGCAGCCCGGGCAGCGGAACACCACCTCGGCCAGAGAGGCTCCGGCCAGGGAGGCGGAGAGGACCAGTAGGCTGCAGCCTACGTACGAAAGCATAGTTGTAGCTATTGAGCTGCTGCTCTTTATCATTGTCAGGAATCCAAGTGAGAGAAGAGGAAGAAAGTGTGACGGGGAACAGGTGAGGCCGGGCTCACAGATCTGCTGGGTCCTACAAGTTCCCAGGTTTGCTCTCTGGGACACAGATGATGGGGTCTAACAACAAAAGTCACCTTTGTGGATCTATCTGAGCAAATTACAGGTTATTTCAAATTTTAAAAAAAAGCATATTCAACATGGCTGAAGTAGTCTGGTCCACTTACAATCCAATAACTGGCCACACATACACAAACTTTGCCCTCATATAAACAATATTTAATTAGAGGTCTATAGTGGCCCAGATCTGCCACCTAGTGTCTGGGCAGCTACTACAAAGACTCTCATGCATCTTATTTCCAACTGTCATTTAACTAAAACAACTACATTTGGTCCACATCCAAAAATTAAAATGTGGGCCAAATTAATGACAGGACAAATGGCTTTCATCCTAATAGTGTTGGGCAAGATTTTGTACCTTATGCCAATGATGCCCAACCTCTGTGCAGAGGTCATGAGAAGAAAATCTTATTTCACTGGTCTGAAAAAAAGTTTTATCTCCTGAAACAATTTGTCTTCGTCGATGCAACAGCGAGGAACAGATCAATTCAACACTCTTCCTCTTGGTGGCAGCAGATGGCTAATTAATCTGTGTATCTACCTGTTGCCATTCAAACAAGAGAATTATTGAAGTTTCACAGCAGTGAAAGCAACTGTTAAATTGTGTACACATGGAAGCTAGAACGTCAACATATTTCATTCTGTATACTTATACTAATATTTTTATTTGGTGGTGTGCTGTGTGATTTTTCCAATGTTTCTGCAGTGGTTCAAAAAGGTTGGAAAGCACTGTTTAATGTTGGATCAAACAACCTGTTGTGTCTACCTCTATTATTGTGATTGTGAGCCAAATTAATCTGGGCTCATGACACATTTAGCAATGTGCCTGGGCCACATTTATTATTAAGAGCTGGACCTGTAGAAAACAATAAGCTTCTCTTTTAAATACCACAGTGTGGTCTATATACTTTGGTCCTTTGTTTGGTCAGATGAATGTGTTTGGGCCACATCCATTAAATTGGACACTGGGATCACAGGACAGCAGTGAGGTGGGCCACGCTGTTTAACAACTACAAAGTCAACCAAAAATTAGATAAATCTAGATTTCGAAAAACATTTATAATTGTTTACAAAAAATAGTCAAAGTAAACTTGAAGTTAAATCAAAAATAAATGTTAGCCAAGAAGAAAGGTAAAAGCAGAGGAGTAAGTCACAGTAATGACCATAAATCCACCAACTCTATGAAGACACGTTTTAAATTTTACTTTTGAATATTTTTCTTATATGTTGAAATGCTAATTTAACTGAATTTATTGAACCCAAGCAGCAGTGAAAGGACATGAAATGTGGACTCACACGACACAGTGAGTTCTACTCTAGGGCTCAGGCTGGAAGAGTCTGTGTTACTATACTGTACATACATCTCAGCCTGTTAGCTTCGATCCACACAACCTCTTCCTGCAGCTGCTCCCAGAATTTAGGGAAAAAAACAAACAAACAAGCCCAGCCTTCCTAACGTGGAACAACCTTCCCCTGCTGTGGCCCACATGTCCATTGACACTCAATGAAAAAATCACCAGCGGGAAAAGAATTAAACACCAGTGGCCAGTACCGCTGCTGTGCACTTACTGTATGCAGCAATATTTCCTATCGATCTGCAAGGCCAAGTCTTGATGTGCCACCAGGCTAACGCCCTTGTGGGACCCACTAATCAGTGTTTATATAAGGGCCCAGATGTAGAAGCTGTGGAGTGCAACTCTACTTCACAGATATAAATGCAGATTAATTTGTTTTGTGGACCACTCCCTGAATTTCATACTAGTTGCTGTATTTGACGACTGGCCTCCTGGCTTCACCTTATGGATGGGGGAGGGAAGAAAGGGCTGAGTCAGGAGGATGCCCAGAGGGCTGTTTGCACACAGAACCTCAACCTTTATAAAACCACGAATGGGAATGCAATTGCAGAATATTAACCCGGGGGCCAAGACTTGTCTCTAAAACAGCCACCAGCTTACAGGCCTCATAGGCTTTAGTAGAGGGAGGCATGTGATCAGAGATGGACACACCCAGGTGTGCCAAGGGTTATTGTCCCTAATCAAAGGGACAATGAGTACCTTAAACTTAGTGTCCTCCCATTCACGTCCAACTCCTCACTTTGTACATGGTTCCACCTCTAATCAAGTACTGTAAAGAATAGCAAATAAATTGATAAATTTGATCAACTTGAGGTTCATTACTGTTTATCTACTATAAATGGATGTATGAATGGATGAATGGATAAATGGAGGGACGGATAGATAGATAGATAGATAGATAGATAGATAGATAGATAGATAGATAGATAGATAGATAATTTATTTGTTTATTTATACTGTTTATTTATTTGAAGCCATTAAATTTGTAACAGGCATTCTGGCCCTATTGTACCCACCCTTTATTTGGATTATTTGTTGAAGTTTGTCATCTTGGGGTCATTATTGATAATGCATCACAAAAAAGTACTGCGTCACAGTTTAACGAGACTGTGATTGTGGTATTTATAATTTAATTTAATAATTCTGACTTCATTTTTGATATTTTATCAATAGAATTTAATAATTCGGACTTCATTTTTGATATTTTATCAATAGTGAAAAAAAAATTTCAGATATTTTCAAAGAATCAAAATTCTTAAAAATGCAATTATTATAAAACATGCACACCTCTATTCTACAGTATATTAGGCATATTGAAAGGGCTTGGTCATTTTTGGTCGATCCTGGCCACCGGAAAACATGCACACCTCTATTCTATATTAGGCATATTGGCATATTGAAAGGGTCATTTTTGGTCGATCCTGGCCACCGCAGCTGCCGAAAAACTTGTTATGTGATATTGAAAATGTCAACATCGGTGTTAGACAAACTCTGTACAGCTCTGAGTGTTACATTTCTTTTGAAACTGTGATACAGCTTAGGGTTTTTTTTTTTACTGAATTAGAATCTTGATGTTAAACGTATATTTTGTGGTTGTCATTGCGGAGGTGAGCCATTTTTAGTTTAGCTTAGCAACCCGGAAGATACATAAGCAGAACAAACGCAGCTAAATTAGAGTTGGAATTTTAGAAAGCACAAAATGTTTGCTGTACTTGCTGTTCCATAGGAAATGAATACATTGTGTAGTAATGGTTATTTTATGCTAACGTGTGTCCTTTATGAATGCTTTCAGGATGGCAGTTTCATCTCACAGCGGTCACTCGCTGGTACACGGTCTGGCCAAGCTGCTCCGAAATGATGGTACAGTAAAGCCTGGCGCACATTATTCACCAACACAAAAATATCCGAATACTACATAAGTGCCGTGTTACAAACACTACTGATGTGTACTTTTTATTCGTATAATTACTTTGATGAGAAAAGGAATGAATGTCAGTAGAGGTAGGGGTTTTTACATGATGCTTAAGAGTTTTGTTATGATGAACAATACGGTTGGATTCCTCTCTTAAAGTAGAGTCTTTCTTCTGAAATGCCAACGTAATACTTTAATAAGCACAAGAATAGTGTTCACCAAAACAGTCAAAAGGAATAGAGTTAGCAAGCAATTTGACAGAGCAGATTTCTACCAAAAAAAGAGCAAGACATAGCTAAATAGTAATCACTTACAATATTTAAGTTTTTGAAAAGCGAAGTCTGCTGTTTAAAAACTTTTTTGTTCAGACCAAATGTTTGAAAAGTGCAGGCAGTCAGATGCTGGAAAAGCCTGAAGATGGAATGAGGTTGAAACTGGCTTGAATTTGTCCTACAGTGTTATGTAGCCAAACTGGTGATTCTTTACACAGCATTTCATTAAAGTTCCACTAAAAACAATGTAAAAAGAAGTTTGATCTTGTTACTTCTTCACAGTGGCTTTTGTTTGTCATACACCTGAAGTCATTTTTTCTTCACCATGCAGGTGACTTAGTTCTGGATGGCAGCAGCACACTAACTCTGCCAGCCACCAGTCTACAACACCTGACCAGGTTGTTTGAACAGTATTTGCTGTCCAGGAGTCAGCAGCATGGCTTCCTGGCGCTACCATCACACCCTGCTGACACCGCTTCCCTGCTGCAGCTGCAGTTCCTCTTTGATGTCCTGCAGAAAACCATCTCCCTCAAGGTGGGCTTTTAACACAACCACATATATAATAACACACACAGCTTAAAGATGTAACGAGGTGTGAATTGTATCTTGTTTATTTTAAATGCAGTTGATCAACCCACCGGATGTCAGACTTCAGTCTATGGTGAAAATCTTCCCGTTTAAGTCACTGAAGTATTTGGAGGTAACATGCACATTAGACACCCTTCTCTTAATTTTATGTAGTGTAATTTACTGTAATGTTATCTTCCTTATTAGCTGAAAAGAATTCCACCACACTGTCTGGAGGGTCTTCGAGGAGTTTACTCCCAGCTGGAAGTGTTCACTTGCTCCAAGAGCCTGAGCTCCCTGGAGGTACTGTACTGAACTGTACTGTACTGTACTGCACTGTACAGTACTGCACTTCGCTATAGCGTACTGTTTTACCTGATGTAAAAATGTCCCTGTGAGATTGACTTTTCTTTTTTTAGGAGCTTCTTTCTCTCTGTGGAGGAGACCTGAGCTCTGCACTGCCTTGGCTGGAACTGCACACGCTCAACTTCAGCTACAACTCTATCGCCTGCCTCGACCAGTCACTCGTAAGACACCCGTTCAACCAGAGGAAGTGGTAGTTCTGTTCACTGACAGACAGTGTCCTCATCTGACTCCACCTGTCGTTCACAGAGTTTACTGAACGTCTTGAAATCTCTGGATCTGAGCCATAACAAGATTCAGAAGTGTGCTGAGTTTCTAAAGGTACATCTGATACGTAACTTTTGTTTGGAACAGTGTTACTGGCTTCATTATGAGGAAGGGCCAACTTAATATTGGAATATGGAAACATATAAATAAAAATAATAATGATACAAAATAT